TTTTGGGGGAACTCTCTACCTCAAGGTAGAAGGGCTGTCTCTTATACACATCTAGATGTGTATAAGAGACAGGCGGTGCACATGTCCAAGGAGGGCCAGTGTGATGAACAGGACTCAAAACAAGATGATATAATGCAATGTAGTAGCGCAGTAGAAGACTCAAAGATATGACCTGCCACATCAGATCCAGACTTGACGCATACCATCATCGTCACACATGTCACACACTGTCAGCAAGGAGGGGGAGCATACACGGAAGAAAGGCCCCGCCTTGAGCACACACATCATGATGGGGAGAAACCACGGATGATGAAAGGGGAGGAGAGACGACCATGGAGAGGGAAGACAGGACAGGAGTAGAACTCGTAGTCGTCGAAGAAATAGTCTCCACATCAAATGTCCAACCAATGTCCATCCTAAACAAATGTCAAATCAGATCTGATTCGACATTTGTTTAGGCCCCTCCTTGCGCACATAGGCCCGACATAGTCACTGCCTGAAATCTCTCTCTCTCCCTCCGAAGAGGAAGAAGAAAAGAGGGAGGAAGAGGAGAAGAAGAAGAAGAAGAAGAGTGGCTATGGAGGAGAGGAGAAAAATCAGGAGAAGAAGGAGAAGAGGCAGAAGAACTCTCCTCTCTCATGTGCTCCTGATGACGATGCCTCCCGATGCAGGTCGCTGCTAAAGGCCGGTCCCATGACCGGTATGAAGTCCTCGCTATGGCGCCCAGGTAAGTCTCTCTCTCCCTCCGAGTCGTGGACATGGCCTCCACCAATTTGAAACCTTTCCACTCCAGCCTACTCCTCTACTCCTCCAGCGCTGCTCTATCGCAGCTCTTCCCCACACTGGTGCTGCTCCAGCGGCGTGGTGCCCAACTGAGGCTCCAGCCAGAATGTGTCCAAAGTGGAGAACTGGCCCAGCTATATACTGCTGGGCCTGGCTGAGCCATCCTCGGTCTGCAATCAGGAATGTCGGATCTGATGGCCGATCGATGGTCCTGATAGCAGGCCCAAGTCCTGGTTCTACGATCCTGGCGAAAAACGGCCTGCCTGTGTCCCTACCGGACGTCCAGGCAAATCTGCTACTGCATCAGGGTCCTGAGGACTGGGCCAGGCACAAACAGACGAATGCCTGGGTCAGACTCAGATACGGACAAATCTGAACCTGGCCTACAACTACCGAAACTGAAATCCACTGGTCCGAACAGGCATCTGCCTGACAGTGTTGGGACAAAAGGAAAGGTCCCAACCGACACATCTGAAACAGACATAAATAGTCCAGAAAAAAACCACCAAAAATTATTGATGCTGAATAAAGGAGAGCACATATGGAACCAAGTGTGTGACTGGCCTGGAGAAATGACCGTGGGCCTCCAGGTCACTCACCAAAAATGGGTGCACAGCCTGGGGGCCTGGAACAATCATCTGGCCACAAAACAGGGCCTGTGTAGTGGTCTCAGCAATGCCATGCTACACACACACAGACAGACACACACACACACAGAGAGAGAGAGAGAGAGAGAGAGAGAGAGAGAGAGAGAGAGAGAGAGAGAGAGAGAGAGAGAGAGAG